GAGGAGTCATCGACGGGAGCTTCATCAGGTTCAAAGGCAGCGACATGTGACTAACTCCGGGACATCAGGTAAGCGAGGTAAGTCAGGTAAGTTACGCTTTAAATTCCGACGAAAGTCGAAGGATCGACGAAAGTCGATCGGTGCTGGAAACGGCGAATTCCACTAGTGTTTTATTTTGTTATTGTTTTTTCTTGATTGGTTCCTTTCTCCACCAAGGTGGAGATTGTTGGGCCCGCTCGGCCCAGCGGCCCATTTAGTTTTTTGGTGAAAGAAAGGAACGGCCCATCGGCCGAAACGTGGCGTTTTGAGCAACGGGTTAATGAACCCTAACTCTTCGCGAGCATTCGTGGAGTGTGGCGTGTGGCTCGAGGCAGAAGGTTCGAGAGAGACCGGAGGAGAGAAGAAGGCGATGACAACGACGGAGCTTCCCGGCGTCGGTGAAGCTCGGACTCGACGGCGGCTCAAGGTAAGTGAGTCGAGGTCGGTAAGGTGGTTGTTCCTCGTCTTTCTTGGTTGTCTTCGGACTGGTTTTCCGATCGACGAGTCTCCGAGTTGTGGAGCACCGTCGGTTCTTGTTCTCCGATGGTTTCTTCCGTTTTCTAGTGGATTCGCCGGCACCGTCCGGCCGAGATGTAGGCCCGAGGAAACTCGGTAACCGAACTCGTAAAAATCCGTTGTGTTCTTTCGATTCCCGCACGTACGAGAGTCGGAGTGACCGTGAGGATTCTGATACCGACTTCACACTCGAAGAAGTTAATTGTGTTTTCAAGATCTATAGATTTCATTTTGAAAAAAAAAATATTATATATAGCATATATAAATTGTAATATCATATAATTTTTCTACACTAATTCTATGGGATTGATATTTAGATTTTGAGATTTGCCCTTTACTTTTGTGAATACCATACCAAATTGTTGGGTTTCCTAAAATAGGAAAATTTATGGGAGTTGTAACGATGCACATGACTAGTTCTCATATGTTCATGTCCATAAGGGCATATCATGTTGAATTAGGCAGATTTTTTTTCGAAAAATTTAGTGATTAGAACGGATAAGATCCATTTAAATCATCCTAATTGGACATATATATTTAGTAACTACCAATTGATTACGTATGTATTAGTGATTTATTATAAATTATACAAAAAAAGGAAAATATATAAACCTATGGACCATGTTTATATATATACATTAGTCAACCAATATAATTAATGCAAATGAACCACCGAGAATCTAAACCATCCATGCTTTAATCAAAATGATTTACCAAGGTCCAAGGAAATTGGCATGTGGTGCTCGACTATTAATTAACTCATCGTAAATGTCAAATCTTCATTAATTATACTTATATTATACATCATACAACTCTTTCTTTGTGGTTATATATGCATTTAGTTTCTGAAAATGATAATTTTAAGTTTTTATACAATGAAATGATGTATTTTTTTTTTCTTTCAATGGATACATAAAATAAATTCTTTATTTAATATAGATGATATGTAGATGAACATGCTCATAGTATGTGAGAGAAAAGTGATACGTTGTATGTAAACTGTTGGAGGATTTGAAAATTATTTTTCCTGCGATGATTTGTCAAACCACATCACTCGCTTTTGCCAAATTATAAGGAATAAATAAATAAATAAATTATAATTAGGGTTTTTAATTTCTCCGCCTTAAAATACCCTCCATTTGCACACAACACAGATCCTCCCTTGAGCCCCACTCTTCTTTTCTTTCTTTTGCGTTCCAAAGCCAAACCCTCTTTGGCTGATTATCACATTCTCTCCTTTTGCTTTAGCAAAAATGGTCATTAAGAGACCTAATCCTTTCACTAAACTCGCCCTAATCCTCTTTTTCCTCGTGATCACTACCTTTAATCCCCCTCACCTGGGTTTAGCCGACGAAGAAGACCCTGATTTTTATGATCTTGATGAAACTCCCCCAATACTTTCAAATGTTGCCAAATCATCCAAAACCCGACTACTAGTTTCGCACTACAAGAGGATCAGGAAGGGAATGCGATGCCACGTGGAAGGTTACAACATATGCAATGGCGTGTGGGCGAACAACAAGACGAGCTTGCTGCATTGCTGTAAGAAACATTGCCGGAATATTCTCGGCGACAAGAATAACTGCGGTCGGTGCGGGCATAAGTGCGGCTTCGGACAGCGGTGCTGCGGCGGAGTTTGCACTTACGTAGGTTTCAATCCGAGCCATTGTGGCAAATGCAACAAGAAGTGTGAGAATGGGGTTAAATGTGAGTATGGATATTGTGGATATGCTTGATTTTAAAGAAATATTGAATGTTGGGGTTATATTGTAATTTCTGAATTTTGAATTCTTTTTCCTTTGAGAGATATTTTCCTTTTTTTACGTACACGACATTTTAGTGCATACGTACGCGACGGTTTATATGTAAACACAAATCCACCGATTAATAAAAGTGAAATAAAAATACACATATTTCTCTATACTATATTTCTATGTAAAACGCGATTTTTGTAGTGCGCCTGGATGATATTTTCCTGTCTGAATCAATAAAATTTTATTGAAAATTTTAAATGAAGTCTGATTTTTGTATCGAGTTTTTATTGTCACAAAGAGTAAATTCATTGACGTGTTTGTCATTTTACATTACAATAATATTTGTATTTGTTATAAACAATATTCCTATCCTAATATATTTCATTATTTTCAAATATATTTGGTGCATTGTAGTTTAATCTTGCATATATATACATATATTATACGGTATATACATAATATATCACATAAACATTCATCTAAATCAATTTTACACAACGTACGTCTCAAATTCCTTGACCATAAAGTAGTTATATTTATCTATGTTTCTAATCAAGACAAGACATAATGCAGATAATTAGCGTAACAAAAATGGTCTGTCGTAAATCGGACAAAACGAATATAAATAAACTATAGATGTACAGCAGAAAATACCAATAAAAAAGGAAATAAAAAAAGGGATAATCACATAAAAATACCCGAACTTTTACAAAAATCTCAAATAAATACCCAAACTATAAAATTGTCATATAAATACCTGAACTTTTCAAAACTCCCACATAAATACCCAGACTTTTAAATTTTTTCCAAATCAAACAAAGCAACTGCTGACTCAGCAAAAAAAACTGCTGACTCATCATTCAAAAATATTATTAAATATCTAAATATTCATCTACATATATTTAAATTAATATATGTATATAAATTCACATATATATACAAATATATATATATATATAT